CCGGGGGGCGGGGAAAGATGCGGGGGGGGGGTTTGTAGCCGCTGTGGCCGTTGTAGAGAGTCCGGTCGAACTTCACGGGCATGCCCGAGGCAGGGAAGGGCGAGGTGAGCACGGCAGTGAAGGCGGGCGTGGCGTGGGCCGACAGCTCGCCCAGCCCGAACTGTGGCTTGCCCCCCTTGCCCAGCACAGCGCCCTCCACGCCACCATTGGGCAGGTGCAAACCCGCAATGCCAGTCTCATCGAAGGCTCCCGGGGCGCCAGGAGGTCCCGGAGGCCCAGGAGGCCCCGGAGGGCCTGTGAGTCCCGGGGAGCCAGGGACCCCAGGAGGTCCCGTGGGTCCAGCTGTGCCGGGCTCCCCCACTTTCCCCTCCCCAGGGGGCCCTGGCAGGCCTGGTTCACCCTTCAGGCCTGGGAGACCCTGGGGCCCGATAGGGCCAGCTGGGCCCTGGAGCCCTGGGATTCCTGAGGGGCCCCTCAGACCAGGCTGCCCAGGGAGTCCCAAGTCACCTTTCTGCCCTAGGGCTCCTGCCACGCCCGGTCCTCCAGGGCGGCCTGTGAAACCTGGCTCACCCTTGGGCCCAGTTGGTCCAGGGGGTCCGTGGGCCCCAGGAAGTCCCCTCTCACCTGGGAGCCCAGGTTTCCCAGCCAGCCCACTAGGACCTTGGTCACCCCGAATGCCAGGCACCCCTGGGGGTCCTCCAGGCCCTGCCTCCCCCTTAGGCCCAGGGAGTCCACGTCTGCCAGGAAGCCCTGCAGACCCAGGAAGTCCGGGGGGGCCCCCAAGGCCCTGTGGGCCCTGCTCTCCGGGCTCCCCATCCTCACCTGGCTCACCCCTGTCCCCTAAGAGCCCTGGGACCCCAGCTGGGCCCCTGTCCCCCTTGGGACCTGGCAGGCCTGGCATCCCATAGCCAGTTGGACCCATCAAGCCAGGGGGGCCTCGGGTCCCTGGTTCCCCTTTGGCCCCCACTGGGCCCTGTGGCCCTGGCACCCCTGCAGCCCCTGGCACCCCCACGCCATCTACTCCAGGGGGTCCTTTAGGGCCCACAGCACCTGGCTCCCCACTGGGTCCTGGAACTCCTGGAGGCCCAGACTCACCCTTGTCTCCAGGGGCACCAGGAAGCCCATCCAAACCTGGTTTGCCCAAGCCAGCGGGGCCAGGAGGGCCAGGGGGGCCAGGAGCACCCCCTTGGCCTGGGGCCCCGGGCAGCCCTGGTTCACCCACCCCATTATCCCCCTTGAGGCCTCGATCACCTGGGGGCCCAGGCTCCCCCTGGGGCCCTGGCTCACCCCGGAACCCTGGGGGCCCTGGCACACCCTGGGCACCTGGCTTTCCAGGGACAGTAATGCCTGAGGGCCCAGGAAGGCCAGGGGGCCCTGGGGGCCCCCGGAGGCCCTGATCCCCTCGTATCCCTGGTTCCCCCCGAAGCCCTGGCTGCCCTGGTGGTCCGGCCTTGCCTGGGAGCCCTGGAGGACCAGCCTTGCCCATCCGGGAGAAGCCGGGGGGCCCGGCAGGGCCCGGCTGCCCATGGAGCCCTGGCTTTCCAGTGCCTGGTTTTCCCGGGAAGCCCGGAGGACCAGGGGGACCTCGGGGCCCGGGCTTCCCAGGGGGGCCCGGCTCTCCTTTCAGGTCCATCGGCAGCAGCGGTAGAGGCATTTCTGAGAGGGAGAGAAGGAGAGAAGCAGTCAGGGCCTGGACAGTGGGGACAGACCCCCTCTGCCTGCTGCCCCAGAGAATAAGCTCCCTGGGAGGAGAAGGGCTCTGTGTCTACCCCTGAGGACCCCACCCGGCTGCCCCTCTGCTCTCAGGAGAGAGGGAGTTGAGGGGCACCTGTTGCCATCTTGGGGGCCGCAGGGCATCACACCCAGGCTCCTAGCACCCGGCCTACCCAGCCTTTCAAGAGCCTGGGATGACCTGGGGCAGAGTGGCCACCAGGTGGCACCAGCGGCCCAGCTTAGAGATAGCTGGAGCAGACCCACCCCTCAGCACCCACCCCATATACCTTCCCCACCCCACCCCACTCCACCCAAAGGCACCTGTGCGGGTCTTCGGGGCTAAGGCCCGGACCAGCATCAGGAAGAACAGCAAGGCCTGGGAGGCTCTGATGGAGGTAGGGGAGGCAGGGAGGTAGGGTCAGGAAATGACCTACTAACCCCAGTGCGGCACTGTAGGGTGTGGGGGGGGTCTCACCCAAGTACTGGCCTTTGCCCTCACGGAAGGGTGGTCCCACGGGTCCTTTTTGCATGGGCTGTACGTACTTCACCGGGGCATAGCCTGCTGCCCCTCCGGCCCCGCCGCCAAAGGACGCCCGCGGCCCACACCCCAGGAGCAGCAGTAGCAGCAGCAAAGACAGGGGCGTCGAAGCCCCCCGCATGGCGTCCGTAGGCACGCTGCAGGAGGAACAGAGAGAGTCAGCTAGCCAGTCCCTAGGCTTGGCGCCAGGCCCAGCCACTCCCAACGATCAGAACTGAGATGTGTTCGCAAGCACTTCCCAAAGCCACAGGGTCTGCACAAGCTTCCTCCTAACCTCTCCCAGTCCTGCCCAGGCCTCTCGTCCCCACCACCATCCCCCAGGGCCCTGGAGGCCACAAGGCCCACCACGGCGCAGACCCCTGGTCATGCCAGGCCTGTGCGTGCGTGCCCGAGGCCCTGAGCAGCTGGAGGCCGCAAAAGGGGATGGCTGCCGTGGGCCTCCTCTTGCGCGCGCACACGCCATCATGAACAAAATAGAAACTTACAGAGAAAAGCAACCTTCGGGTGAAAACACCCAGCAGCTCCTGCCTGGCATGGCCTGGACTTTACCCAGTCCTCAGCACTGTGACAGGCCCTATTGGCAGCCCACTTTCCAAGTGACAGAACTACAGCGCAGGTCCCCAGGAAGCAGAGCTGGAACTCGGTTTGGGCCTGACTGCGTTCTGTGACTGTGGTCTCCCCAGTGCCTGCAGGTGAAGTCCGCGGTGTGGGCAGAGCATCCAGGGAGAAGCACCCCATGGGGAGTGGCCACGCTGCATTCCCCTCTCCATGCCTCCGTCGGGATTTGAGGCACACATGTATGCGTGCCCAGTGTTTTTTATAAGCTGCCAGGTCCAGGATTCAAACTCCCAAATCGGCTACACAGGATCCAGGTGCCTTTACCACCACACCATTGGCTGGCCCCTCTTTTTTTTTTTTTTTAGGAATTATTTATTTAATTTCATTTATTCATTCATTTATTTTAATTTGACCAGAGAGAGAGAAAGCAAGCAAGCCACCAAGTCCAGGACTTGAACCGTGATCGGCCATGTGGGGGTGCCCGGCACCTTAACCACCGCGCCACCTGCTGGTCCATGGCCCCTCTTTTTGAGATTTTGGGTCCACACACATACTCAGTGTTTTTCGAGCCACAGGGGCTGGAATTTGCTCAGCTGCCCATACAGCATTCCGCTCTCTTAGCTACTAGACCATGGCCTGGCCCCAGTGCCGTTTTTATTTTTTAAGCTTATTTTTTATTCACAAGAGAGAGAACAGCATTCTTGACAGGGTCGGGTCACTCCATCGTCCCTTTTCTCCAGCCCTCCAGCTCGTCGGGATCCCAGGTGTGCTCAGGTACACCCGGCATGTTTCAGGTTGATAGCCTGGGCGTCCAGACCCTGGCTGGCCATGTGGCTTTGTTCATGTATTTATTAATAAAATCTATAACATGAAAAAATATGTCCCCTTGGAAGAAGCCACGGGCCTTCAGGATAAGGTTCCACAAGCAGTTCGGTGAAAATCATGGAAATGTCTGATAAGGAATTCAGATCATTCATAATGTCTAAGCTAACAGAGATGGAAGAGAAGAGAGATAATGAACTACTAAAGAGAAAGGAGAAAGAGATTGACGAGTTCCAAGAGATGAGGAAATTCCTGCAAGATCTAAAAGTGGAATTACACACTTTACAAAAGACTCAAACCGAACTGCTAGAGATGAAGTCTATAATACAAGAAGTCAAAATCTCCCTGGAAAGCATTAAAAGCAGACTAGATCATTCAGAAAATAGAATCTCAGATGTAGAGGAGAAAATGGCTGGCCTAGAAAAATCCACCATGAAGGCTGAGAAAATGGCACAAAAATTTGAGAATAATATGCGAGAAGTACTGGATACCATCAAACGTCCAAATATCCGGATAATTGGCATTCCAGAAGGTGAGGAAACCCATAAGGGCATTGATAATCTATTCCAGGAAATCCTGCAAGAAAACTTTCCAAACCTAGAGAGGCATTCAAAGATCCAGTCCCAGGAAATACAACGGACCCCAAATAGAATCAACCCTAGAAGATCTTCTCCAAGACACATTATAGCCAGGTTGACCAAAACTGCAGACAAAGACAAGATACTAAGATTAGCAAGAGAAAAACATCAAGTTACCTACAAAGGACATCCCATCAGGCTAACAGCAGATCTCTCATCAGAAACAATAAAAGCGAGGAGAGAATGGGAAAATATATTCCAAGTGTTAAGAGAGAAGCAGTTTCAGCCAAGAATACTGTATCCGGCAAGATTATCTTTCAGGTGGGAAGAAAAGACAAGAACATTCTCAGATAAACAAAACCTGAAAGAATTTACCAGCACCAGACCAGACCTCCAAGAAGTTCTCAAGGATGTGCTGTATCAGGAAAACTAAACGCAGATACATGGAAATAAGAGTCCAAAAACTGAGAAAGTAGCTAACTTAATCATAGGGACAAGTCTGGAGTTGAATACTATATCCCAGAATTTAATCAGGAAAATTGAACCAGAACAGAAGATAAAAGTATATGAGACTGATAGGTTCATGCACCTACCATTTGAACAGAATCCTAACCTGTTTCCGGGCTTTAAGCAAAGTTCCTTGGCGGTTCTTTGATTTAAGTTAAAACTGGTTTTCTTAGTAGTAACGAGGGAACTCACCTTTGAAAGTAGTCAGGTTATGTAGGAAATTGTGTGATCAATGCAATGTGGGTGGGAAGGGAATGGAGGACAATTTTGGACACTAGAGGTGGTGTGAGAGGAGGGTGGGAAGGGACAGAGGGTCAGAAAGAGGGGTGGAATTAATTCTAGCAACTAGAAGTGGAAATTTATATTTTTTGTAATGTGCATGATTGAGTCACTATGCAGTGTGTACTGGATGGGAGATCGCATTTTGTGTGCTGTGATGATGCCTAGAGAAGGAATGTAAATTGAGTTACAAAAAAGAGTTTCAGGAAAACAAAATATATCTATTCAATGACTGCAGTAGGATATGTAGCCCCAGTTAGGTGCTACTTGATAGGATGCGTAAAGTTAGACTTGTGCTCATGGAAATGTGTCACATGTGTTTGCTAGGAGGGTATTTGGATTGATGAGGGTCTTTGGTGATTCAATAAAATGTGGGGGGAAAATGGTATAGAAAGCAAACATAGATAACAGAGAAAGTGTGGGAGGAGAACAGGAGGTGGCAGAGGGTAAGAGAGAGGGAACCAAGGATAGGGGGAAAAAAGCAAAACATACAGAAAACAAGAAATGGAAGATCACTTGCTAATAATAACATGTTTGTTGATATGCTTGATTGAGACAATATACAGTGTACTCTGGATGGAAAAAAAAAAGAAATGGAAAATTGTTTGTTGATAACACATATGGTTGATGTACTTGATTGAGCCAACAGACAATGTATTTTGGATGAAAACTTCATTTTGTATACTGTAATGATGTATAGCATATTAATGTTAAAAAATAAAAACAAAAAAAAAAAAAATAAAAAAAAAAAAAACAGCAGCACTGTTCAAGTAGCCGAGAGGTCCAAGCGCCCATCAGCAGACAAATGGTAACTCCAGTGTGAGCAGCCGTGCTGTGGAGTATTACTCAGCAATGAGAAGGAATGACGACCACTGTGGTGCGGGTGGATCTTAGAAACATTATGCTGGGGACCCGCAGATGGTGTAATGGTTATGTTGCTGGACTCCCACTTGCTCGACCATGGTTGGAGTCCTGAACCCGAGGCTTAACATTCACACCAGGCGCATGTGCTTGTGTGTCCAAAATCCCAAGAGAAGAGTGGAGGAGAAGGGAAGGGATTAAGGCATGGCCATTCGCCCTGGGGGGTCATTTCTTGCGTTTAGTCTCTGTCTTTCTCCGTCTCTCCAGCAAGCACACGTGTCCTATAGCAAATATCTTTAAAAAAAGAAAGAAAGAAAGAAAAGAAAAAGAAACAAAGAAAAGAAAAGCAGAGAAAAGAAAGAGGCATACTGATGAACAGCCCCGGGGTTCCATTTAGGGCTGGAGGAGGGGAGTGGGAACAGTGGTACAGGGGTGAGGGACGCGCTCTAGAAGTGATCGTGGTGAGCCGCAGATGGCACGGTAGTTTAGGCAGCTGAGTGCCACATGGCCAACTGCAGGGTCGAGTCCCAGAGCCAGCAGCTTAAAAGCCTGGGTGTGCCTAAAATCCAGAGAGGAGAATGAGAAGGGACTGCGGTGTAGTCATCCCCCTTGGAGACGCTTTCTCTTCTCTCTTTCTCGCCAGTGAGCAGATGTGCCCGAGAGCAAATTTAAAAACAAACAAAACTGGGGCCAGCAGGTGGCTTGTCAGTTAAGGCACTGGACTCCCACATGGCTGGCAGCAGTTCAAGTCCCAGACCTGAAGACTTGCTTTCTCGCTTTCCATCTTTTTTTCTTTGTTTCTCTCTGGTAAGTGCATGTGCCCTATAGCAACTTAAAAAATAATAAATAAAATTAAATAATTCTCTAAAGGAAAAAAATTGAACTGGACAACTAAATGGCCAATTGTATGATAGTTAAACTATATCTATTTCAGGACCAACAGCTGGCATAATGGTTGTCACTGGACTCCCACAAGGCTGACCACGGTTCGAGTCCCAGATCCGGCAGCTTGAAACACGTTGGGCACATGTGTGTGTGCACATGCCCCAAATGCCGAGGAGAATGGAGGAAAGGGGGTTGCGGTGTGAACCTCTCCCTTGGGGGGTGATTTCTCCCTTTCTGTCTCTCTGTCTTTCCAGCAAGTGCATGGACCCTATAGCAAAAATCTCTCTTTAAAAAAAGTGTATCAGGACCAGCAGATGGCGTAATGATCATGCTGCCAGACTCCCATGTTGTCGACCATGGTTCGAGTCCTGGACCTGGAGACTTAAAACATGCTGGGCAAATGTGAGTGTGTGCCCAAAATCCCGAGTGGAGACTGTGGCCATCACACCTTGCGGGGTGGGGGGGGGGGGGGCGGTGACTTCTCACTTTCTGTCAGTCTCTTGTCTCTCTCTGGTGAGCGCATGTGCCCTATAGCAAAAAGAAGTCTCTCTCTCTCTAAAAAAAAATCTATTTAAATAAGGCTATTGTTTTATTTAAACTTTTTTTTTTGTTATAGGGCATGTGTACTTACCAGAGAGAGAGACAGA